GGCTACAAGAATGTGCCAGGCTCACCCAACACATGGTTGTTTGTTAACCCTGCGCTGCCTTTTACAGACGTACTCATCTCCAAAGTTTCCAAAGCTGAAGAGGCATCCTCAGGAGATAAACAACCCTGTATGACTTCCGGGGATCAAACTTGAAATGAGAGATATTGTAGCAAGGACGGGGTCAAAGCTGGGATAAAAATGAGAGTATTCATCACTCTCTTCATTACTTCAATATCTTTATTTTCAGTTCAAATCGTTGTATTCTTTGTGGTAAATAGCATCTTCAAAGTGTTCCACAATATTTGTGGATAATCAACAAGGAAGAAAGCAGCAATAAACAGCCAATGTCCAAGATTTGGATCCAAAAGCCACCTTAGAAAGGATATTTACCACATCCCCAACTTCACTCTGTACACATGGCAATGAGAGAGCTTTTTAAATGTAAGGGTTTTAAAACTGACCCACTTGCCCAGTGCCTGCTATCTTCTATTGATCCACCAGACTAGAAAGAGGCAGCCTCTCTGCAAAGTGACTTTCAGTCTTATCTTTCACTACGTGCTCCCCTTTCCCATAGAAGTCTGTGGTTGCAGAAATACAGCCTCCTTTACGGCCCTGTGTGTAGAGTCTATCCCAGCATGTGGACATCCTAATCGCATCTTAAACAATGTCTTAACCACATTCTTCTATCATTTATTCCCCTGACAGTATCACTGCCAAAACTCAGACTGCTTGAGCCCTTACAGCAAAACACTTGCTGACCCCTGCTCTAATTTTGTGTGTGTGTGTATATATATATATATATTTTTTTTTTTTAAGGTTCAAACACACCATATATATGGCGTATGTTTGAACATTTAAAAATACTCTTTGATCAATGAAAGAGGGGGCCGGGGATTTAGCTCAGCAGTTCGGTGGCCTATCTTGCAAGCTCAAGGACCGGAGTTCAATCCCCGTTACCAAAAACAAAAGAAAACAAAAAAACAACAACAACAACAAAATGAGAATGGAGTTCTTCACTATCTCTCTCTACAAGAAAAATACATAAAAAATAGAAATGAAGAAAGCTGAAGACAAATTACTGAAATAGGGAGTTTATTTCTCTTCCTATCACCCACCGAGCAAAGGGAATTTCTGTACATGATATCATACAAGCTATAAGCTGAGCTCCATTACGAAAGTTCTTTTGAATATTACATAAAAATGTGAGTCTCCTAAAAAGTGATGAATAAATGATTTTCAAGATCAAGGTTTGAAATAACGCACTGTTTCAAATAATATTGCAAACAATCGGTTAAAATTTTTCACTGCTTACTCTGTTGCTTCTCTGTTGGGAACTTTTCTCATGGAGAAAGCCACCATTGCTCTGAAGAGATATTCTTCGTTTGTATCCCAGACATACTGAAAGAGAAGGAAAATGGAAAAAATAGGCATGAGGTAAGAAATGGTACATTAGCGATGATCTCACTCATCTTCATATTCTCTCTCTCTCTCTCTCTCTCTCTTTCTCTCTCTCTCTCTCTCTCCTTTCTCACACACTGAGAACTGGAGACTGTGACAAATCAAGTCTCATAATGTCTTGGGTAGCATTGTTGGGCATTCTATAATTCGAGGTATGGTGTGCTTCCTGTTGTAAGATCAGTAGCTGTGTGGTGTACATTAGCTGTACTTATTCCCCTATCAGTTCAGATTGTTTGGTTCCTTGCTTGGGTAATAAGTGCTTCAGGACCCTAAATGCCCTAGCTCACCTTGCTTTTTGCATGAATCCAAGGGCACTCTGAGCACAGCTGACCCCTTGTTTTACATGAGTAAGCAAGTATAACTGAAGAAAGTCAGAAAACAAGGTTTGTTGGTTGAATCCTAAATTCACCATGACCTACCCCAAATTGCTGGGAAATACCTTAGGATTCTCCCTCAGTACTTTCTCTCCTGAGTCCCATGACTATTTCAAGTCTCCTACAGGCCTCTGCTTATCTTCATCACTCACTCACTACATGCTTTTCTTTTAGAATTTATAGGCCCATCTCCAGACATCAGTGGAAACTCCCTCATTCTCCTGATACCAAGATATCGAACTTCTTCCATTGGTACGCATCCTATCCATCTCCTCCCCTGAAATGCTATTTCTCTTCCATCAGCAGTTATTCCCTTTACCTCTTAAGAATGCCTCCATTCTGCCCTTCTCAGGATCTAATCAATACCAGTTTCCCCTCTCTCTTCTGTGTATTCCAATCTACCTCAGCTGGTTCACCAACTTTTAAACATGCTCAAGTTTTTCTCATAAAAACAACAGCAAGATGAGTGCATTAGCACACATCTATAATCCCAGCATTCTGGGAGGCTGAGGCAGGAGGACTGCAAGTTCAAGCTCAGCCTGGGCAACTAAGCATGACCCTGTTTAAATTTGTTTTGTTTTGCTTTGTTTTGTTTTGTTTTTGAGACAGGGTCTGTCTCACTATGTAGTTGAGACTGACCTGGAACTCACTATGTAGCCCAGGTTGGTCTCGAACTCGCAGCGATCCTCCTGCCTCAGCCTCCCGAGTGCTCGGATCACAGGTGTGTGCCACCATGTCCGGTTAAATTTTTAAACAATGTGAGGGCTGGAGATGTAGCTCAGTGCGAAGACTATGGGTTCAATACCCAATACCATTAAATAAATAAACAACTTCACTTTCTTTCATCCACCTACTGCAGTCTCTCTACCCTTCATAGCCAAAATTCTTAGAGTCATCCATACTTTTGTTTCCATATACTCTACATATTCACTGCCCGATTAACTCCTTTTAATATCTACTTTCCACCCACACCACCCTACAAAAACAGCAATCTCCCACTCCACCATTGACGGCCACACTGCTCAACACAATAAGCAGGTTTCATTCTACATCTTCCTTGCCTTCTAAAGAGCATTTGATGCTCTTGATCTCTTCCTTCATTCTGAAATAAAAGTCCCAGACACAGCTCACACACACCCTGGCCCAGTCCCTTTCTCTCCAAGCTCATCACATGTCATGCTCCTCCTACTGCCAACTCCAGACACATCAGCCTTCTTTCTGCACTTCACACTTACCAAGTGTCATAAGCCCTGGCTAGGGCTGGGGAGCAGTGGCACCCTACATTCCTCACAAGTGCAAGGTCCTGAGTTTGAGCCTCAGGACCAATAAATAAATAAGCTTTGGCATGCTCCTCTGCCTTCCTTTCTTTGGTCCTCTAGTTCACTTGCCAAGACCTTCCTATAACATTGCCAAGACTGCAAGCATGTTTTTGGTGTGTTGAGTATTTAATGCACAACAGATTCTCTTATGATGGTAGGTTCCACAGGGAGCGGACAAGCCCACCATTAGCAGCCACTGCATACCCACCAACCAGCATGTTACCCTCTCGGAGGCTCCCGCTATGAGAAACCCTACACATTGGTAAAGAGTATGGATTGTATAGTCAGGCTGCCTGAGTTCAAACCTAATCCCTACCATTTGCTGGACTAAGATGTTGAAAGGGTCACTTAACTCCTTTGGACTTCAATTTTTCTCATCCATCCAATGGGAATAGGAGTATCTGTGCTATCTTCCTCAAAGAGCTATTGGAAAGGCTAAATGGGCTGAGAGAAGCAAAGTACTTAGAAGGTTAGAAAGTAAATTCTGTTTTCTCAATAAACACTACAAGGTACAAGAATCATCACTCATCAAGTGAATAAGAAAATGACACACTGATGGCTTGGCCTGTAAATAAAATATTCCTAAATTCCTTTAGCACTCTCTCTGGTTTTTGTTTTGTTTTGTTTTTGGCTTCTAGCCTGAGTCATCTTAATATCGCCTGCTGGGGAAAAAATGTGCAAACCACACTGCAAAACTAAAACTAGAATTGGACAATACTTTTGAATTTCATGGTCTTTACTGTTCTTATATCCACATGGGCCCTACAACAATTGTTGGGACTTCTATTTCATAAGCATATATTTCATATTGTCAGATTGATAATTGGAAAAAATTCAAACTTTATGTTAAAATTGGAAAATGTTACTACTAGGAAAGACTTTATATGGGTAGTACCAATCCCTTCATTTTGGTGACTGGAAAACAGGTTGACAAAATTCAAATGACCACAAAAGTGAGACGGACACAACCCCATCCTGAATGACTGACTCTGGCCCCTTTACTCCATGATGCTGGGCCAAGAGAAGGAAGCTTTATAAATTCATATTTTCAAGCATACACTACAGAGTAAATACTTTAAGAAAATCCATTTCAATACCAATTTCTACTCTATGATAAGCTACCTTTACTTTAGGAAAAGATCAGACTTACATTCTCTAGAAATAATGCATTCAGGATTAAGATTACCATGCAGAGAGACTAATTATTAAAGAAAAGTGTTATTACAAAGAAAATGTAAAATGAATATGCAGGTGCTTCACTTACTGCTTTATCTCCAAGAGCTGTTCTGATACTAAGTCTCACTTTAAAGGCATTTTCTGCATCTGCCAGAAAGAAAAAAGAAAGAGCAGTATACAATGATAAAATCTATCAAAATGGAGCCTGATAAATCCTAACATTTAATACAACTCAGATCGACAGAACAGACTTGTCAAACTATCCCAAATAGCCCTACAAGTTTAATAGAAAACATCTTACAGAGTCTAAATTTTTCTTTCAAACTCATAAAGCAGTCACAGGCTCCACTCTGAAGCCACAGCATGTCTGTAGATTGAGAAAAATGGAATTCTTTCAATCAATGACTATGTCAGTGATTTAGAAGTGTAATTTATTTTTAAGTTTCAAGGCTACATACCTGGTTGACAGAGTTCAGCATGAATAGCGGTCACTAGGAAAAAGAACAGCCACAGCATTCTTTCAGAGTGGAAAACACAAGGCAAACTGAGACAAAGAAAATCCACCCTCCACTTAAAGCTGCCTTAGCCTTTTCTGAAACCCAGATTAGAATATCAGAGAAATCAGTGAACCACCATCTAAAAGGTTTAATAATTAACATTCATCACTTGGGTTAATACTTCCATAGAAGCAGACCATCTCCTGTCAGTTATTTACAAAGATGTGTTTGGAAAACAGAAACAGATCCATTGTTTTTACAAAACTCTGCCCAAAAAAATGCTTCCTCTGTTGACAAAGCCGGAATCTTCCCCCCACCCCTTCTGCAGTTGTCTGGGTAAATGATCCACAGAAAGAATCCGGAAAGCATCAAGTCCCCTCTGGAGGTTTTCCTTGGCAAAAACTTTTCACCTTTTCAGGCTAGCCCACCTGGCTCCTGGGCTATCTGAACCTGGGAGCAATTGTCCCTCCTTTCTGTCTCTGGTGAACAAAGGATGCGCCTCCCAGAAGGTCCTCCCGACTGCACTAAGGCAGGGTAAACCTGCAGGACTCTTCCCATTCAAAGGAGGGGGATGGTTTGGCGCAGGCCTGAGGCCTGGCAGCTGTCTGAGATCCAAGGGAAGGGCATGGACAGCACTGCCCCGTGAACATTCGGTGGCGCTGGGGACGTGCCCTGCCTGCGCTACCCAACGTGAGGGCCACGAGCCATAGGTGACAGTGGCGCTTGAAATGGGGCTGGTGCCACGGGGGGCGCCGATGCCTTGTTCAGGGCCATTGAACTGAGTTGAAGCCACCACATGGGGCTTAGTGACTCCTTTGGTCAGGGCAGCTGTACGGCAGTGAGTGACAGCCACCTGCCGCGAACTGGGTTCTCTGGGTCAGTCCTCTGACCCTCACACCTCGGAGCGATTACAAACCATCAGACGTGGCAGGACCCCAGGATCCGGTGCTGAAGCCATAGGCAGCCCTGGGGCCCGATCTCCACGCTGAGTTACACTGTGCCTCTCTGGTCCTCCTAGGTCAAAACTGGAATTGCAAGAAAGCCTCGGAGGCTCTCTGAGGGTGAAGACAATGAGGGTAAAAGACTCTCCCCTGCTGGGCACCCCACTGAGCCAGGAGAAGCCCCCAGCGGGTTTTCCTCTCTCTGCGGGCCCCTCTTCATGAATGCAGTCTCCAAATTCCTTGCAAATCGCGGATGGGAGGTTTAGATTGACTGACCCCAAGGCTAAACAGGAAATTTGGATCTTTAAAGCAACAAGGAGCAGATCACCCCCCTCCCCCAGCACCTTGAGACACGTCCATACTCCCCGCTCCTAGTCCGGGTGGAATGTTATTGGCGGCGACCCATTTCTGCTCGCTACATCTACCTGCGGAGTCTTTTCCCATCTCCTTCTCCTTGGCCGCAAGGGCGCTGAGTCAGGAAAAGCTGGACCCCAGGGAGAGGCCGCCAGGCCGGCCCAGCCTTTCTAGCAATTTCACTTAGTTGCAATGGAAATTTCCTAGGGGGAAGAGCTCCCTTAGCAACCCCTGAAGAAATGCCTCACGGGATGCAGATAATCTTGGGAAGGACAAGTCAATACACAGAGAGATAGGGATTGGAACACAACGATTTATTTACACCAAGGACCAAAGTCACGTTTGAGGCACAGAAATCTCATTAAACTTTTCTTTAGCCTTTCATTTCATAAAAGTGACAAATTTCTTTTTATTTTTTGAGCTATGTATGCATTTTTTTCTCATTGAGTTTATTGGTACTGTATAAGTACACAGTACAGTTACATTCATCATTGGGATCTTGTACCTTTACATGACAGGTCTTGGTTCTCATTTTTTCTCCATACCCCTGCCCTCCCTTCATCCCCTCCTTCCTTCCCTATTTACTAATACTTTGTTTCCATTTTTTCATTTTCTCATATTTTTTCTTTTACCTTATTACCTTTCCCCTACCCGTCCCACTTCCTAGTGAAAAGTGACAAATTTCTTTATATGCTCTTAATTGTTTATGTAACTGGAATCAAAGACAACAAAATACTGAGTTTTAGTCAATGTAAGCCATTAAGGAGAACAAAACTTTCAATTATGATTTTGCAGTGTTTGTTCTCTCATTTAAAAAAGGAGCGATAAAAGTTCTGTATTGAAAATACAGAGAAACAAAAACAGAAATGTAGAAAACACACATAAATCAACAGCATGGATTACTAGTGATTATATATTTAATAGGTGGAATCCAACTTCCTTAGCTTTGGGTCTTCTTGTATGTTTTTGTATGATGTTGTTATTCTGCCTCATTTTTCTGATATTACCAGAACATGTAATAGTAGAAATACAACTTCGACTTTTCTTTTTTCTTTTGTTCAGGCAGGGTCTCACCATGTAGTTGAGACTGACCTGGAACTCACTATGTAGCCGAGGCTGGTCTCGAACTCACAGCGATCCTCCTGCCTCAGCCTCCCTCCCCAGTGCTGGGGTTACGGGCGTGCTCTACCATGCCTGGCTCACAACTTGGACTTTTGTCTTTCTTTCTCTAATGGGAATGCTGCTACATTATGGAATGTAGTGAGCTGCTTTAAAATTATGTGTCATGTGTAAAGCTATCCTTTTATTTCTAATTACCAAAAATTATTTTCATCAGTTATTGATATTGTATTTTATGAACTGCCTTTTCATTATCTATAATGATGATCACAGGGTTTCTACCATTTGGTGCATTATATTAATACATTTTCCTACATTGATTCACTCCTTAAACTGCCTTTTTAAATTTATCTTTAGCATGTTGCTGAAATTAACTACTAGTTTTTTCTCTAAGAGTTTTTAAACTTATTTTCATAGAAGAATATCATATAGGTTCCTGTTGAAATGCTGATTCTAGAAGGGGCTTTTCCTCTAGCCCCTATATTATCTTTTTCAAAATGATATAGAAAGATTTTTAACATTGTCTATGTTTAGAAATACTTACAATGCATGAGAATGAAGTATTTGAACAAATGCATGTTGTAAAGGCATTCTTTGAAAATTTCACTTCTTATATTACCATTTATTTCAGGCTTTAATCTTTTTTTGGAGTCCATTTTAACAGTTTATAATTTCCAAGTAATTATTTATTCTGTTAAATATTCAAGTATTCTCATGGGATTTCTGAAATATGTCTCATAAAGTATCTACTTTGGTTGCTGTGTACTCTATGTTTTATAGTGTGAATATTAACTTTCTCACTTTTCATTTAACTTGCTGGAGGTTTATGTATTTATGTTGCAGTTTAATCAAAGAACAAGTCATGGATCTAGTTTAAATTCTATTCTTCCTGTTTTCTCATTCATCAATCTTATATACACTTACGTCCTTACTCTTGTACTCATTATACCTGATGTCTTATTTGTTTGTATATGTCTCAGTTAATAATTATAATAACTAAGGTGAATTTCCCTTAGAGTATTGTCTGGCAATATGGCATGAGACATACAGATATAAAGTGATCTCATTCTTATTTTCTAAATAATTTACAATTACAGGGCTGAGGGTTTAGCTCAGCAGTTCGGTGGCCTGCCTTGCAAGCACAAGGACCGGAGTTCAATCCCCGGCACCAAAAAAAAAAAAAAAAAAAAAAAAATTTACAATTACAGTTAATTTTTCCTATGTCTCAGTAATTACCTAGAAAAGTGTGTCCTGCAGCAAAGGAAACTGCAGACAGGAACAAGACCATTCATAATACAAGATTTTGGGCCAGGGATTTAGCTCAGTGGTGCTGCTGCCTGCCTTGCAAGCACAAGGTCCCGAGCTTGATCCCCGGTACCAAAAACATTTACAAAAGACATAAAACAAGATTTTATAGGTAAATAAAAAGATAAAAGCTCAAATGACATATATGATACACTGCCAACAACTCGACCTCAAATGTAAAATTGTCACACAAGTTATTTGTCACATGGAAAGTACTAAAAACAAATTCATTGTTAAGTAGTTTAATGGAGATCTCAAGAAAATAGCCAATAGAGCTAGCTTGTCTTCATTTTCTTACACTTCAAAACTTTGCAGATATTTAGTGTTTTGATGTGTAGATTTGAAGAAGTAAATTTCTTTGGATTTTATATCTGTGTAACTTGCTTCATAAACTCCTCATCTCAGGGATTTCACACGCAGGGGCTTAGTAACTAACTGATTAGTAACTGTGTAGTACCAACAAATAAAGCAGTTTCAATTATTCTGAATATGTTGCCATTGGCTTCCAAACATTCAAATTTAAAGAACAGAAATTAAAAGTTTAGATTATTTTTGCCATGAACAACAAAAAAACGGGCATTCAATCTCCTGAAACAGGAAAAAGAAATCGATTTCTTCATGTTTTCCATACTCCACAACACTACGGAAATGCAGTTTCAGGGCACATAACTATTGATCCACTGCTCTGGGGCAAATAAACTGTGAGATCCCATGAAATAAAAACACGTATTGTTCTTTTGATTCATACGAGATGCTTTTCAAAGTTCACCAAAAGTTTAAATCATGCGGGGATAGGTAGACTCCACTGGCAGTATCAGGAAACGGTTTTGATCATGATCAATGTGCAGAAGAGAGGTCTTCCTGGTATCAGACAGATGAAGGCCAGGGATGCTGCTAACTGTCTCCTAAACATCATTCAGGCCTACACTTCATAACATTTTTCTCCTAATTGGATTGATGGAAACAACCCACACAGAGAACAGATCAAAGGGATTCAAATGTATATGGTATGTGTGTGTGTGTGTGTGTGTGTGTGTGTGTGTGTTTAGCATACTATTAGACTGTAACATCATTTGTTCTATATTCTGTAATTATTACTAAAATACACTTATTTATCTTTTTATTGATATGGCTAATTACAGAGTAATTTCCTGGTTAGTCAACCTAGGGACACAAATGGGATGCCAGTTTACTAGCCCATGGTTAGGAAATATCAGCACCTAGAAATATCCTATTATAATAGAGTGCCCTTCCTATCTTACATTGTCCTTGTCCTTATCCTGTGCACAAAGCAATTTCTACATTAAAATCATTAGAAAGCCAAAGCTGATATAAGAAAATTCAAATTCTTTGTCCTCTAAAGATGTAAACCCATCTTGGCT